CATCGGCTGGCCCCCGCAAGTCATTGTATAGGCCACATCGCATTCAAATGCCACTGCGAATGTACAAATGGAAGTAGAATGCGTGCCGCATCCCAAAAAGGGATTGATCAACGGCAAATGCTTTATCCTTTTATCTGTATGTGAATTCGAGCCCATTTCCCAATTCATTGTTCGCGTTAGATCAAAAGTAATAAAATTTAAAAAGTTGACAGCTACTGGCTTTCGAACTCCCTTATTTGAACAACTGGGAAACTTCCTCATCAGTTATAAAGACTACATGATATATTTTATATACAAGGCGGTAAGATCGTCTTATGAACAGTGTAACTCCTTGTTCCTTATCTATGATTTTTTAGTAGTCAACACAGTAGCCCAAATTTATATGTAGATGCTACCGCAACGCATTATTTTGACTTTATACTACCTGTCAATAAAGTGCGTTCGTATTCCGAATAGGAGAAGGATACCCACCTTTACATGCTCCACACCATGTTTTGTGGATGAGGAGGAAAATCGGCTTGTTGAGGTCTTTCGCTACTCCGATAGCTTTGTCCCATTCCACCCAATCTATTTCCGTACGAAATCCTGAAAAAACTAAATAAAAATAGCTGTCTTGGTCCTCCTGCGTACAAAGCTGATAATTTTGATACTGAGAACTGGTTTTGATTTTGATAAAAACACCCATTTCGTGACTGTGGTGTGCTGCAGTGGCAAACAGCGCCATTTGCTATGGCCATGGTCCGCAGGTCAAACTGATCGGTTTTCACCCATACCGACAAAGCATTTTGTCTGTACGTGACTCTGTTGATTTGTGCACACTCAGAACAAAAAGCTCAAAATTGTTCGGATTTGAAGTCAACCTGGATTCAAGTATCAGTACGGCTTCGCATGGAATGATTTTGCGAAGTTCATTCCACCCAGGGCTTGTTCTGCGTCAAACAGTTGTTACTATTAGGTTGTAGGGAAAGTTCTCGCGGTTTTTCGAAGCACGTTGAGCTCTGGTTGAGCAACTTTTTTGAATCGAAGCCAGAAAAGTTCTTTGCCGAAGGCATCAAAAGTCTGCCCGAAAAATGGCGAAGAGTGATAGAACGTGATGGTGATTACTTTGTTTCCTAATATGTTTTCTTGTTGATAAAAAATTAAGGTAATGATATGTGTCAAAAACCGCGAGAACTTTCCCTACAACCTATTACTTCAGCCCAAACCTCTGTAGAAACCCGTTTCGTGCAAACAAAGTGCAACCTGATTCATTTCCAGCTACGCAATCAAGCAGGGTGTGTGAAGAGGTCTCAAGGTGTTGTGGAACGGTTACTCTCATTATCGCTTCACGGTTGTAATAGGTGAAGAAGAGCCTTCTGACTCTTTCCCAAGGATGAAGTAAAAAAGATGGCTGGCAGTAGCGAAACCAATGGTCACATACTCGCTTCATAGGAAGACGTGAAGTTCGCGACGAAAATACCTAGTGGGATGTAGCTCAAAAAGTGGGTGAAAGTGGCTGCCAAATTCCCAGACTCAGAAACTCGTGGGTAAACAGGCTGCAAGCTCAACATTTTGAACCCACAGAGGTAGCTGTTTTCATAATGGGCTACGTACATACAGTCCTAGTATGCGTCTACTGTCCTAGATGTAAGCAGGCTGTGCAGTGCTTTCTGAAAATCGCTGAAGATACACTGCAAGATGACCCCAAAATCAGTTCATTGAAATACGGTAGGCAAAACTGGAGAGTTCGCAAAAGGAAGTTTTACATCTCGACGTTTGCAACTACGTGGAAACAACAGGCACAATATGCCCTGCAATTGTTTTAACGAATGGCATGGAAGGTTTTATATACCATTCGTTCGCTTCTAATTTTTTCGAAAGAATATTAAAACTCACCATTAGACAAGTCGCTTTTGGATGTCTTTTTCTCACCAAGTGCTGGTAGCCATGTGGCTGCGATGACGAGTAGTAATCTCATAGTGAAGGCGTTCGAGGTCGTCCCGCTACTGCTAAATGTGAACGACGTGAGAAAACAAGGCAGAAATCCGTCTCGACGGGTCGAAAACTTAAAAATGTTCCACTTCATTAGTGTAGCAAATGAAAGTGAAATAAAAAATGATCTCCACACCTTGCTGCGGCCTCACGTTGAATGAAGAACTGAATCAGAGGAGATCAAGTTTTAGGTAGCGCCAAGAGAATGGGACTGAATGACCTTGACACGAAGCGTTCAATAGATACGCGAGGAGCGCTACAAAGGCAGACGGAGTGAACTGGAACGTTAGTTATTGATTACGGATACAAAGAGGTTTCTTATCGGCAACTTTAGGTGTCACGGCTGTTGTCTGGAATTACGGAAAGCTCTAAGTGGGCCTGTCTTGCACTGCATGAATTTCTTTCACTTTTACTGCAGCATCTAGCAAAATCAGCAAGCAGAGTGAGTGCAATTCGCACGGCTGAAAAACAGAAAATCGAGTGTTCCATTTTTTGGAGGTTCATAAGTGCCAACAGCATAATTAGGAAACAAGCCATGAATCGATTAAATGGGACCAAAATGGTGAATGGGCAAATATACGGACTAGCACTTGCCTGGCTCTGCAAGCGCAGAACGGATTCAATATGCGATCATAATATACATATAATATACCATTACAACTTTATTAACTCTGATCGAATGCATGTCACATAACGAAAAATATCGATCAACGTCAATCTGTGTTGTTATATGTAATGAGAATCCAGTTGGTGGTACTAACTATCCCAGTCGGAAGCTTGTTTCAAAAATGCAAAATTTTAAGGTTACCTTATAATTATGAACACTGTTCAGGGGAGGCAAAAAAGTCGCTCTTCTCTACTTCAAATAGGAATTGATTACAGGGTCTATTCCAGTTAGGGGGACATCATGATGCAGTTTTTCCAAAAAGCTAGGGTAACCGAGCCAGGGGGAGTAGCCAGTCTAGGGGGTGGGGGTGAGGGCAGTCACTTGACATGCGTGAAAAGCTGGAATGTTCGAGTTCACACTAGTTCGCCGAGAAACTGCATCATGATGCCCCCCCCCTAACTGGAATAGACCCTATTTGCACTTTGCTAGAATCGAAAAGATGCTCCGAACTGAAATCTGAAGAGCACAATGCTATTCATCAAAAACTTCACAGCGGCCTTCTACACCGAAGATTCTGGAAGATGAACCGATTAAAGGAATCGGCAGCTTTAGTCTAGAGCGATTACGGTAGGCCTTCTTGAGCTTTACGACGATGGCAGAAGACTTCATATTATGAGCACTGAAGGAGAGTGTGCTCCTTCTCGTGGCAGGACATTTGAGGAATATTTTGCGATGAAACGTTTATCAATGGCTGCACCATTTGCTACGAAGTTGATTGGAGCCATGGGCGATGTGACTCCTTTACGCTAAGTCCTGCACATCTGCAAACTTCCACGTGTTTCGTTTAATATTGTGGGGTTCCTTCGCTTCCTATTTGCTTATCGCTAGTTATTTTGTTACCATAATCATGGGCCATCCTTAGTAATGACAACCATTTCTCATTGCTTTTCATATAACTTTTGGTTGATCAAAAAGTTCCTCCGATCTTGAATGCATTGCGTACAGCAACTGTTGTATGATAAATGAGTGAATTCTCAATTTCCAGCGCCCATGTCGTTGAAAGGGACAATGGAGTTAGTGAGTCGCTTACAGAACCTGCATTAGGAAGCTAGAGAGATTCTGGGAGGGAACGTGAGCAACCTTTGTTTCCCTGGCGTCCCTTCCCTCTCCTACAATACTGCTCCTAATTTTTGAAACATCTACGCGTTGCGACGGTTTGTAGCGTCGCGACGGTTTGTAGCGTCGCAAACCGTCGCACCGTCATAACTCCTCGAAAGCGGGTAAAATGAAAGGATCTTACAGCGATGGACTCGTCTCTCTGTGGCGAGTCTAACCATGTACAAAACTACTGATTTGGTTGAAGTTGTAATAAGTTATTCCATGAAAACTATCGTCGATCCCTCGCTTGACAGTCTCGCTGTCAGTGAGTAACGGCCAACGGGATCGTACAGTTGTCGCGCCACCGCGCGCGGCTTCTTGGGCGGCGTCGCAACGCGACGTTTTTCCGAGAAGCGCGGGATTTTTTGGATTTGAGGTAGGAGCAGCGAATTTCCTGCAGTCCACAATAATCTCTGTGGGGCGCGGATACCAAATTCCAACTCCCATGCTCTGGCTTCTTCATAGGAAGTGGCGTGAACAAACTGT